AGCAAAGAAATACCTTACAAACGGGTGAGGGTGTGTATAACATGCATGTCTGGACTGGAACATGCTTATTTGACAGATGCTTAGAACATCTTCTGTGCATTAAACAGAATCTATAAGGGAGACAGAAAGTATGTTTATATATAGGGATGGATAGGAGAGGTCTTGCTCCAGTGTTCTGGAATAAAAGTCACTACTTAAACATATTGCTATTGTCCCATGTATGGAAAATTTTAGTCCATTTAAAAAGGTATTAAGTAAGAACATAAATTTTAAATGATGCCGATTTGTGTGGTAGATGCAGAGATAGGGCTAGTATCCATTAATAGGTTAATGCCTTTTATTTTTATAATAGAAAAAAGTTTACTCATTCATTTATTCATTCGTTCATTTTTGTTTCTTATGGTGCTAGCGATCAAAACCAGAGCCTTGTGCATGCTATATTTGCATCCCAGAAACAGATTTAAATGCTTGCTTTTCCTTCATTTTCAATTTGCCATTTATTCAACCAAGAAATCTGATTTTTGCAAAATATAAGTGCCTGAATGAAAGTATAACAAAACATTGATGAAATACATTAAGTTTCTACCAGTAAGTTTGTTAGGTGAGTGATTTCAGTGTGAGGCAGGTGGGTTACATTATTTACAATAAATGTCATTATCCACAGGCTTCTTAATTATAAATGTATAAAACTTCTTTTATAGAATAATTATTATACTTTCTGTATACTGGGTAGAATGCATATGACGTCTTGTGATTTTTCACGAAAGTATAAACTTGAAAGGAGAAAAGATCATGGTCAAAATAAAATTAACTTGGGCTTTGAAAGGAAGGCATCTGTTTTTCTCAGCATAAATCTCAGTTGCCTTTGAGACGGCCCAAGAATTGTCGCTTGTAGTAATTTAGACCCAGCGATGATGCAAGGAATATCAATGGACTTTTCCAATTCTTTGACTTAACCAGAATCCATACTGTTTAGATTCCAAGTATTATAGAAAATCCTGACCCTGTTCCTCCAAGGAGGGATAGCGTAGGTATCCCACCTCCGTTCCACCTAAATGAATTTAGTTGGGGTTTGTATTATACAGCATATTTTTAAAAACTTTTAGTTGTCAATGGACACAATACCTTTATTTTATTTATGTACGTAGTGCTGAGGATCAAACCCAGTGCCCCACACATGCAAGACAAGCTCTCTACCACTGAGCTGCAAACCCAGCCCTTTATAGAACATATTGAGATTGAAGTTCCTTGTGAATGGGAATAGAGCAATTTAGAAATAGAAGGAATGCTCAAGTTTAATTCCAGATTCCCAAAATTCTTTAACTTTGAGACAGAGTCCTCTCCATTTGGATGGTGTCAGAACAATTCCTGAAATAGACCTGAAAAAGGTATTGTAAAATAATTCCCTATTTTGTACATGTGGTTAAAAAAAATGTTAGACAAGGATGTTGACTAAGAGTTGAAAACTCTAAGGGATCAATATATTAATGGGTTTGAATGGAATTTAAAAAAGAGAGAGAGAGTCAAAAGGAATGATTGACCCTTTTTCAGTGAGTGAGGAATAGTCTTGTGCTTTAAGAATGCACTGGAATGGGGGCTGGGGTTGTGGCTCAGTGGTAGAGCACTTGCCTAGCATGTGTGAGGCATTGGGTTCGATCCTCAATACCACATAGAAATAAATAAATTAAATAAAGTTATTGCATCCATCTGTAACTAAAAAATAAATTTAAAAAGAATGCTTTGGATTATGAACATTTATGTATATCATATTTACCAAAAGATAGGGGTAGCTTCACATCAGGAATCATGCTTTAGATTTTGGAAACTAAATATTGGCATTGTTTAGTGAGCGAATTGAATTTAAAAATTATGGCAAAGAATTTGGTGAGTGATTGATTTAAATCACCAAAGTTATTCTTAAAATCTTGATGTTTCCTTGGAATAGGAGTGTTATCTTTCTCTAGGGAGAAAAGCTTTTGGTAACCAGTTAAATGGAAACATAAAATTTATTATTTATTTCCACTGTGGAATGAATGTGTTGTTGCCCTGACTGACCAACTTTCTTCACATAAATGCTCTACTTTCATATTCTACAGCATCGTAGCCAAGGAGGCTGTACCAAATTAGGCATCCCTGATGAATGTTACAACTAGCCATGGGGTTTGTGTTCATTCTTCGCATGAGTGGTTTATCTGGAGCTGATTCTTGGGCCAACCATGAATCATGTTTGCCCTTCCTTTGGTTACATGAAGAGTTTGAAGGAGCTGGGAGGGCTAGATGTTTTATGTTTTATGGACTGAGTTTAATGACATCCATGTTATATCAACCCACCTCAAGAGTTTGCCCTCCGATGAGCCTGCCTTGCAAATCCAGCAACTCTTGGCCTATAGATGTTGAATATTCATCTGTTATTATGTGGACATGATGTTAAAGGTACAGGGGATTTTGATTTTAATCCTGATATGATACCTGCCCTCTTGGAGAGTCAGTTACTTGTAGAAACTATAATAATGTCTTTGAACCGTCAGGGTACCATTTTGGTTGCTAAAGAAATGAATTGTGAAATTGTGTTATACTGTCAAAAAAGAACAGATAATTTCAGTTTTCTTCTTCTCAAGGAAAATGACATTGTGATCACATTCTAGATACTAAGACAAGAGCTACACATTCCACTTGACTTTATACAGGAAATAGGAAGACTTCTCCCCAGGTCAATTTAGATCCCAAAGGCCAATCAGAAAACACAGAAGTTGGTTAGTATGTTAAATGCCCTTGGTCTAACATCCAGAGTCCATATTTTGCTCTGTTAAAGTTTTGTGATATACTTACTTTAAAAATGTATTTATTGGGGCTGGGGTTGTGGCTCAGAGGTAGAGCACTCGCTTACCATGTGTGAGGCACTGGGTTCGATCCTCAGCACTATATAAAAATAAAAAAGATATTGTGTCCACCTATAACTAAAAAATAAATATTAAAAAATGTATTTATTAAATATATTCATAGAATAAACTCCAATTAAATGCAACATAATATTCATGTTCTTTGGGAACATTCTTTCTTAAGTGGATTTTAAAATTAAAGTTTGAATGTTGATGATAATGAATATTGCTGTTTATTTCTACAAGTGATTTTGAAGAATCCCCATACCAAGAAGTACATAGCACACACAAATAAAATAGGGACATTTACTTATAAGGTAAAAACTTATTGTTTGTTTCTAACAGTGTTATATTTGTCTAATATTCTATGTATTTTGCGTATGGGTACAATGAGAAAATGGTAAGAAAACCCAGTGTTTTATGCCTCACTCTGAAAATGCATTCTTCCTTTTAATTTTTTTTTAAATTAAAGTAAGTTGACAAAAATTGTGTATGTTAAATATATTTTTTTGCCAGTAGATATAAAGTAGGCAATCAATAAATGATTGTTATGTCTCAGTCTTAATAGCACCTTCCCTTATATTTTTTGCCCATCCTGCTAAGCATTGCTACCCACCAAAATCTCTTTCCCATGCAGGAGAACACCTGCTAAGGCACCATTTCATGGTTCTTAGCATTATACGTTTAAATACACATTTTTACATATCCTTATTCTTTTACCTGCAAAAACTCCTAAAATCCAAGAAGCTCTGAAAACCAGAAGATTTTATAATTCATATTGATGGAAAAACCTGACCTGAACTGATGTGAGGTTAATTATAGTGTTTATTTCTCCCAGCTAGTATGAATATGCACATGTTTTGCTACAGAAATGCTAATGTTTCTGATTACACAGTTGTTGCCCCAGACCCTACTGGAGATGTTATGTAATTCATGGTATATGCATCTGAAAATGTTTAAATTCAGTAATGTTTCAGATACTAAAGATAAAAAATTAAGGATCTATAATCAAAATATTGGTTTCATTTTAAACTTGTATTACTAGGGAACTTCACATGTGGTAATAATATCAATAATAAAAATTAGCCCATAATCTTTCATGAAGTATTTTCTATGACAAGAAGAGTTGAGAGGGAGGGGATTGAGCAATTGTGAAATCAATTGTCTGTCATTTCTCATGATACACTGAAGTGTTGCCACAGGGGCTTCACAAAATAAATAGAATTCAGATGGGGAAAGGTGACTGCAGAGACTGACATGGAACGTAGAATGTGAACATGTACACACACGTGCACTTGTATATGCATTTGTATATCCACTCCTGTGTGTCCATGTCTGTCTCTGAGGAAGGGTGTCTAATCCTACAGATGGGGACTCTACAGTCAGTCAACTCTACAGATAGGGACATAGTGAAGATAGCCCTGGGAGTACCACATTTGATATTGCTCCCAAATGCCATGTTCTGTGTATGTATGTTCTGACATTTGCTTATTTGTATACAGATGTCTTAGACTATTGACAGTACTAAATGTGTCCCCTAAGGGAGAGTAGGATTACTAGAAGAGAACCCAGTCACTTGCAGAAGATCCCCAAATGAAGCATTGCCTTTATTGGATCCTGATTTTAGTGAGAACCTAAGCCCATTTAAAAAATCTGAACAGACCCTTAAATGTGTTCTTAGTACTGCCTACTAAGGATTTCTTTTCTTTTCTTTTTTTCTTTTTTTTGGTGACTTTGGTAAGTGTTTTATGTCCTTTTTGCTTTACATGAACATGTCAAAGCTCTGCATTTTGTGATCGCAAGTCACTGCTGGTACTTTCTGGGGTGTAGCTACCTTGTGCCCTTTTAAGACTGTGTCAACCACTTTTGCATCTTACATTTTAGTAACAGAAGGAAGAAGATGTTGAAAGGTAAAGGTTTCAATTTGGGGGTTACTGAAACAGGGATATGTGGTTTTAATGAGCTATAGGTTATCTTAAAATAATGAACAAAGATTATGATGTCGAAAATACTCTTTGGCATGTTAAAATCTTTAAAGAGAATAAATTTAAATCTTTATTGTTTAAGAACTTGTCCTAGAGTAAAACTGATAGTATTTTGCCCTGGTATTAACAGAGCCCTGCACATTTTTATTATCATGTTAATCCACAGGCGCTTAGGGGTTAAAGGATATTCGACTTGCTCTTTAATGGACATCTGTGCCAAATCTGTGGATTTTTTTTTTTTTTTTTTTGGTTATAATTGTTGTAGCTTCTAGTGATTTCATTTGTCAGGACAGAAGTCCCAGGAACCTATAGCTATTTTGGTTTTTGCAACCTTGATAATAAGTCCTTATAATATAGACTACTGATTGCTTTTCTGTATCCTGCTTATTGTTGAAAAGCCAGAGCTATTTTTAACATTTACACAATTTCGATAGATGATTCTTCATTCCACAAGGTTTGGTGCTAATCTGTGGAGCCTTTCATAATTACATGCTTTTTGTGGTTTGCTTGAATTTGATCACAGTGGCTGATTTCATGCATTGATAATGAAGGCTTAGGTTGCCTGTTTCTCGGCATAAATCCACCTCAGACTTGTGCGTTGACAGTGCTTCTGGCTTCAGCACGCGTGGAGATATAGAATTGAAATTGCTCTGCTTTCTTTACAAATGACTCAGAGTGTGCTTGTCCTTCCCTAAAATGTTGCCAGCGTGTGAAGGATTTTCAATGAGCAGTGCAATAAGCCAGCAACTGGGAAGGTTTGGAGCGGCACTGATATAACGTGGTGCTGTCACACGGATAATCAGGGCTGCAGCCAAGTCCCGGTAGCACTGTGCATTACCCTGGTCACATCCTGGAAGTTTTGTTTATCCAACTTGGTTGCTCTGGAAGCTGGTGAAAGCCCTGCAGGATGTGGAGTGGACTTCCTAGCAGAGGTGAGCATTTTTATTCTAAAACTTGGATGCTGAGGTTTGGGCTGTCAGTTACAGATTCTTTCGTATGTTGTGCTGAATCCTGTGGAGTCATCAGTTGTGTTTATCACGTTGTACTGACATTTCCAAAGGGGAAAACTGAAGAGCAAATGTCTGATTCTTTAATGTTATTGGGAAGTTACTCCTTAAATGGGTGTGATAAGCATCCTTTTCCTTCTGCACTGTAAGCTGTGTGCCGAGGACATCTTACCAGTAGGTGACTTCCCTTGCATTTTAAACATTCAGAACAAGTCAGTGATATTATGCGATTGGCTATCATTACCGAAAGTAGGCAATTAGCAGTGTTATTATGTGCTTCAGGTGTATGAAAAAGGCTGTAAACTAAATGTACTTTGTAGAATCTTTGACATGAAAAATATATAGGAGGAAGCAAAGTCATGTTTACGAGATAACTAAGAAAGTAAGAGAAATGGATTACATACTGGAGTTGACACCTTGTTGAGCTGGACATTATTAATAATTAAAAGTTATGACCTGTCTTGCAGTGGGCAACCTACTGTAATTCGTTTCTAGTGATGGTGTGCCAAATGAGAGGGGGGGGGGGAAATTAACAGCATTTCCTCTTGAAGCATGTTTTAATTAGATGTGATATTTTAAATGTATCAGGTTTTATCACTTAAGTGTAACTTCCCCCAGTGCTCACCTGGGGAAGTTAAATTATGTTAAATATGATCATCATGCTCCGAAAGATCTGATGTAGCATTTTGAGTGTAGGCTATCTGAAAGCCAAATAGACAAGGGCAGCTCAAAGTTAGCCTCTTGGTAGATGGAGTCAATTGCTTAGCCTCTGCTAAACTCTAGTTCTATATGATGAGAAGCCGTTCCTAAACAAGGAAGGATTGTGAAGGTGATGATGAATTCAGATAGCATTATGCTTATTAAGTGTTCGGTCTGCAGAGGAATCTATTTTTATTTGATTGGAAGCTAACATGGTACATGGGGTGTGTGTATATGTGTTTTTCCTGCTAAATTTACTTGAGACAGCTGTTTTATGGCTTTCAGCTTTAAAGTTATAGATAAGTGTGTATTTGACAGAAGACTCGAGAACCCCATTTGCTGCCAGTACATGTAAAGCTTGACTAAGCAGACGCATCGGGAGCAAACCATTTGTGTTCGCCAATCTGTCTCGGCAAGTCCCAGGGCCACTATCTTGCTAGAAGCCACTGTGTGCTTTTGAAAGCATGAAATTAGTTTTATACTGAGCACATGGTTTCTCATTTAGCAGTTCTTTTTATGGTAATGGTCAATTTATGGTTCACTGCTGGGATTCCGGTGTTCTGTCAAAGCTGATTGCTTCTGCTAAGGTGTCTGTGTGAGATTTAAAAAAAAAAAAAAAAAGTGGGGAGGTGGGAAGAGTCTAATTAGACCCTCAAGAAGAGACTCTGACTTTCAGCCTAGTCTACTCTCTGGGTGTTTTGTCATTTCTCCAGAGTTCTTTATATTGTTTCATCCAGGATCTACAGGTTTCAAGTTTTTGACATCTACCACTGTGGACCTTCCCTAATATGCGTTGTCAAAATAGCTGTGCTCTGAAATGTGAAGTATTTGTTCATCTCTAGTATACATTTGTAGAAAGTCACTCTCCTCATGCTGACCATATTGTGCAGTTCATCATTACTCATCTGCTTGTCTGTTGCTACATCCCAGAGCACTCTTACAGAGTGGGAAAGGCTTCTGTACCTTTTACTTTTGATGGAACTACTCCCACTTGGTTGTACATGTCTGTGCTGTGAGCTGGGTGAGTGAGGTAAAGTAAGGCATTCTGAAGATACATTAAACACTTGAAAAACATCCCCTTTCATGCAGTGACTTCATCTTACTTGTTTCTATGGAATGCTCACAGAGGTAATGCATTTATGAATGTGGTAAGAAGGCCTTCCTGAGCCTCTTCTTTCCATCAGAAAATAACTCTTGTTGACCATCTTGTGAGTCATAATGTATTTTGAAAGAGAGATGATCAAAATTACCAAGACACATCGGAGGGTATTCTTTATTGTGCTTATTCTCTGCACGTTGGTAATGTTGGTAATGGATATGGAGATGGGTCAGTGGACATGGTGGGATGAGGCTAGTACACCTTTTCTCTGATGGGATCTTGACAATGGAGTTGAAAACACCTCTGAAATCCTAAATTTTATGATTTTCTTCGTGTTAATTTTGGATCTTTGCCTAGGTTAAGTGGTTGAGCATGATTATGAATTCCAAATAAAAGTGTTATTATTGGACACTTTAGAATGTGCTCTTTTAATTAGGAAGATTTTCTGGTTGTGGATAAAGCACCATTTACACAACATTTTTTTTTTTTTTTGGTTCTTTTGAGAATGTCATGTCATGTCACAATTCATTGTCAGATTGTCAGGGGTACTTTGTTATGGATTTCAACTTACAAATAAAATATCCCTCCTATTTATCACTTCCCCAAAGCCTAAGAAACAAATTGGGTCCGTGGTTGAGAATTAGAAGGTTATAGGGCATCAAATTTTTTTCTTTGAAATTCATGATGACGTAATGTGTTTAATAATGAAAACCTTTAAAGAAGTTTTAGAATTTCAGGATTCTCTTAGAATAGTGAAACTTGTCATATTACATAGAACATAGAAAAGGGATAATTTGGCTTATCTGCCTGAAATCTTAGTAGCAATTTTTCTTTTTTATAGAAGGTAGGATTTAGGCAGTCATGAGAACATGAACCTCAAGAATTTCAGCAACTTACCTGCAGCTTTTCACTTTTATGTCAAGGGACAGTAATTGTAAGTTGCACTTTACCCGATTTTAAAAATGATTACTTATGAAATAGAGCTGATGTAGTAAACGTGTTTGAGATGGGAAATGTGACTGCCAAATTGAAGTACTCTCCAAATTCTTTGGAATTTCCCAATTGTGTACGTCAGTAGTTTGAACAATTTTACAAAGTTTGTGGTTTGTTTCCAGATACATTGCTGAGGTGAATATACTTCAATGAGAGAATGGGTTCTTACCTCAAAAGCTTCATTTCCCATCTTTCAATCCTTTCATTAACTTCCTTTTCCTCCTCATTAATTAAATGAGAAGACCTCGTTTTATGATTGCCAAATTTAGCAAATAAAACTGTGTAGGACTTCCAGTAAAACTTGAATTTTAGCTAAAACAATTAATTTTTAGTATAATCATATTACATTTGGGACATTGCTTATATTGGGATATACTTCTATTAAAAAATAACTCATTGTTTAGGTGAAGTTCAAGTGTGAACTGGGTGTTCTGCACAAGTCTGATAACCATTTCTACTTTCCACATAAGAATGTGGGTCTCCAGTAATGGTTCTTAAAACTGGTTCCATGAAAGCCAAAATAAGGCTTCTTCACATTCCTGTAAAAGAAATACATGCCTACTGTTGCAGTTTAATGCCTGAATAATGCTCTTTGGTGAGTTACCATTTGTGAAACTAAAATGGTATATAAAAATATGATGGATGGTATGGAAATCCTGAATAAGTATATGAAGACTCCTGTATTTACTAAAATAAAATGATAAGAATGACATATTAATAATAACCATCAATGGCATTTTAGACAAAAAAAATAAGTGCTGTACAATTAATTTCCAATTGCTACCCTTTATCAGCTAGAACATTTTCAGGACTTTCTTCCCTAAGCAGGTTTGAAAGTTAATTTTGTCTTCTTGCAGTTCAGATGCATAATGAGAGGATTTTCCCCTAGTGCCCACTCCCCTGCTCCTCTATCTGGTGTTTATTTAAATGTCCATCAACTTTCTGGCTTTTGACTCAGTTTTTGACTCGCCACCCCATAGGTTTCTGAGAGAAGGCAAAGAAACTTGCAGACTTGACATAAAAAAAAGTGTGCAGTCCTTTAATTGTTCAACTCATTAGTTAAGCAGAATAAAATAAAGATAATTTTTATGTGCCTACTATGTGCCTCACACAACAAAAAAAAATATTTATAGGTGGGTTTTTATTAAATTCTTGTAACAATTTTGTACACATGCTAAGTTGTTTACCAAAACCCTATTCCTAGCTCTGAGCTGCCTCAATTTTAAGCTCACCATAACACAGCAGAGTATTCTATCCTGGCTTGGAATATTACTCTTAAACATTGTGCAACCTCTCTGCAGAGAATGAAGAGGCTGGTCCTCTCATCTCACCTAAGGCACACTGGGAAGAGCTCTTGGCTCACTCACGCTTCTCCACTGCCTTTCTTTCTCTCCTCTTTCCTCATACCTTCATTTTTTTTTGTAAATATCCCTGATAAGAATGACTGTACACCAGTATGTAACCTGATTCTCAAAATGAGAAAAAAAAAAAGTAGAAATGAGCCACATACATACTGCAGTAAGATGCTATGTTGATTCCTTGCAAGTAATTAGTGAATAATATAGCGAAGATGCTTGGAGTAATTTCTCCAAGGTAGATTTTTAAAAAATATTTTTTCAAATGGACACAATGTCTTTATTTATTTTATTTATTTTTATGTGGTGCTGAGGATTGAACCCAGTGCCTCACAGCTGCAATGCAAGTGCTCTACTGCTGAGCTATAACCCCAGCCTTGCAACCTAACCTTTTTGACCCTTATAAGGCTACCTCAGGTTTCTGTCACTCATGTAACATGTCAAACTAGGAAACCTGTTTCGAGCCCAAACTGGTCATTTGAATGTGGGTAATATTAACTTAAATTTTGGAAACAGATGGTCCCTACCATCCCAATAAAGGCTGTGTGGTAAACCATATCTTCTTTGAATTAATCCCCCACTTCCATAATCTAGTGAATTTTTCAATATCTATTGTGTAGAGGACAAATTATTAATTATTTCCATTTTTCATATCTATTCACAGTATGCACCTCTTTGTAATTACTCTGGATCCCCCAGTGCATTTTCTGCTTCCTTTCATCAATCTGTTTTTTACTTTTGCCTAGTCAAAATATTCCTGTATTGTGCATTACTTGTTT